CTCTCTCTCTCTCTCTCCTCTCTGTCTCTCGTCTTTCCGTCTCTCTTCTCTCTCTTCTCTCGCAGGAGGATCCGGGCAAAGAGCCACATATAAAGGACTCTTCACCTGGAATCGTTTGCCCCGCCCAACTTGTGCAAGGCGTCCTGCCTTCTGCTACTCCGTGCGACTGCCTCCAAAAAGAGCGCCGTGTTTTTTTCCTACCTCGCTGCCCTCCACTTTCCCATTCTGGAGCGCTAGCTTTCGCCCCCCCCCCTTGGCCTCAAGTGTATTTAATAGAAATAGAACACACACACACACATATATATATATATGTGTATTTGAGCAACGGCTTTTCTTTGCGGCAGTCAAGATTAGTGGTTGGGGCGTTCCTTTTCTATAACCTAATGTCAGATTTAGTTAACGAAACGAGGTAGGAACACCCCAAGAACGAGCTGGGCATTAATTGCGCCAATTTGTTTGAAATGGTTTGGTTAATGATATGTTTAGTTGGTGAAACGCGGTAGGAACACTTCTCGAGAACGAGATGGGTATCTATTGTACCAAATAAATATAGGAATGGAGAACGAGATTACACCCCAAAAACGATGCGAAATTGGAGAACGAGGTAAGGAAGGCCTATACGGAAATTTACGAAAGGTAGCTTTAGCTATTTGAGTTTAATTAGTTTTAGCTATAGGGTAGGATCCTCCTATACGCTATGACTTTGGGCTCGTTAATGGCGATTATATATATATGATAAGGGGGTATCCCCGTGGCAGGGAATAGTTTATATAATGCGATTCGTCTCTAATAACCAAGCGAATAATTTCCACCATTTAATTAAATATAGGATATATTTAGACGATTAATGATAAATTACGGTATATGATCGGATAAGATTATAAATATATCAATTTTTCATTTGTATTATTTGGTTAAAATAGCTAAGTTAAATTAAACAACCATATATTTAAGAGGTGCCTCGCTGGTTTCCGCGGGCAACACGCTGGAGGGACTGCTTTGGCTCGTGCCGGCTGCTTGAGCATCCGCCGTCCTGGGGTACCAGTCCTGCCAAGAGGCAATCAGCTGCTCGAGTGTCAACGTCAGGACAGAACCGCACTCGGCGCGAACTCTTAAAGAAGGTCCCTGTGGCACCCTCACTGCCACGCCATTCCTGGTGGGCAGGGAGCAGAGGTGTCCAATTTCCTTGGAGATTTGGTTTAGGACGAGGCGGTTTTTCTTTGACGGGGGGGGGCAGCCACAGGCTGTGCAATCACATGAATTGCCTGCAGTAGCTCTGCTACTGGCACTCGTAGTTGGAAAGTGATTTGAACGCAAAAAAGACTCCCTTCTAACAAGAGCCTCGTTTAGCTTCCTGTCGTCTTGCGCTACCGCCGATCCAGGACATCATGTGGCTGTGCAGGGGTTCCCGTACGCTGCCTCCTCCCATTGGGGGCTGTATGTTACCTCCCTGACAGATGCTATTGGCTAAAACTGCAAGCCGCCGTTGTCACTCATTGTGCCACCAGTTATCTGTGCCAACTGTCCTGGACTTGCATTCATTCTCAAAATATCTCAAACGAGGTATCAGCTCTCTTAGCTAGGACCCTGTGAACTCCTTAGGAGATCACCCTTCTTAGTTAGGACGCGCAGTTAGCTAGGTGCAAGCTGTGCTCTGTGACTCTGTGTGGTATCCTTGGATATCCCATCGAGTCGGCGGTGAACCTCTTAGAGCCTTGGGGACTTGTCTCGAGGAGGGGTCAACGGGGCAACCCGTTGGCTAACGGTCAACATTCACCGTTGGGTAGCTAAGCTCACGGTGGACAAGACCGTCGGTTCCTCCCTAACAGTGTTAGGGTCCTGTCGCGAGACAGGTGTATCCTCGTGGGATACATGGGATCGCTAATGACTGGGTCACCGGTCGGTCCACTCTCTCCTTTGAGAGTGGGCTCGATCTACAGTCTGGCCACAGTGAGGGCCTCCTGCGGGTGTGTCCGAGCTGTGCTCTGTTGGGACCGGGCTCACTGAAAAGCTTTTTGGTTGGACTTCTCCTGGTTCGCCCCGGAACCTTCGGGGGCTCGCTAGGTGCTGAACCTTGCGCGCTGTTGCTAGCTTGCTTGTGGCACGTCCCTGTGGGGAAATGAGTGGCTTCCTCGGTCTCCACGTCCCACCACTTGCTTGCTGGCTTCGGTGTTGCTTGGTTTGGCTTGGCCTAGTGGGTGGAAAGGGGAGCGCCCCTGGCTGCGCCAGGTGTGTCACTGGTAGAGGTTGAGGGTAGTGGCTCTCTCCCAGTGAGTGCCAACACCTAGAGGCCAAAGCTCTCAAGCAATTTTCAAAAGGCGCAGCGCCCTGCCAATGCTGAAACGGCGGTCAAGGTCGCCGGAGCCACTGCACGACACTCCATGGAGCCTCCTCCTTCCTTAGTGGCAGCATGAAAAGTGCGCCAGAAGATAATGAGGAAGCTTACACCAGAGCCAATGTAGGGTATAGCCGCTCCACTGACATCGTTGTCCTAGCCAGCCCTATTCAAAAGATAGGAATTCCTGGCGCCCTCCAAGTGATAGCGGCGCTGCTTCATGGGGTCTATGTCATTCGCACAGAAGAGGGCAAATCGCTCCAAGGGTAGGGGACATGCGATTCTCGCAAACACATGGCAGCCACCGCTGCGCAAGAATACGCTCTGGCTATGCAGCCACACCAAATGTGGGGAGAGCGCCTACCTGTCTGCATTTGCGAATTTCAAGCCCAAGGGGCGAGATGCTTACGTCTTGTCCTAGCGGTCCTCGCTCGAGTCTTGGTCAAAGCAGAACGAGCTCTGGTTTGGAACTGCCCATATCTTCCGGGGTGGTCTACTGAGTCAGGCCGCGCCTGATGGTGCCACTGACCCTGAGTGGGCAGTCCTCCCAGATAAACGGGAAGGAAAGTGGCGGCTCCTCAAGCTCGGAACAACGGCTTCCAATAGCCGATGCAGCATTGGGGACGATGAGAAGCACAAAGGCCGTCATTTTGCACCGCTCCACAAAATCTACTTTTATGACGCGTGGCGGGTCAACCCGATCTCAGATTTGCAACTACCCACAAGAGCTGAGCAGCTCTGTGAAGGGTGCTTTCACCCAACCCCGGCTGATAACCGCGAGCCTGTCGCACCATCCCCAGACCCCAAGCAGTGAAGGACTGCCGGAAGCTAGTGCTAGTGCTCTCACTCCATCACACTACACAGTGCCGTCATCTCCTAACGTGGGTGAGGAATCAGAGGAACAATGAACAAGACATAGACAAAAGTGATGATATATGAGCAGTGCCCTTCCAGCGCAGCAGACAGAGGACTGCCTTAGCACTCCTCCTCCGAGTAGCCCTCGCCTACCTCGCCGGCAGATCAACACATGCAAGGGGACGACCAAGCACCTGTTGCAGTAGTTGATGCGCATGCAGCATCTTCCTCTGGGCTGCCCACTATACAGGAAGATGCTCTGCCGAGCAACAGGTCATGGACATCACCATGTGGGTTGGTTGTCCCTGGATTTGGTTGCGAGCCAATGCTATCGTTGAACCTGAGCTACTGTCGCCCGATGTGGGCGACGCCTGTGCAGGATGCAGCCCATGAATTCAGACGAGGAAGGTGCCGTGTCTGACGGTGCAGACCTCAAAGTCCTCGCGCTTGTTTTCCATTGCGGGGGAGGTGCTCCGCCCCCCCAGCGCCCCCTCCCGCTTTCTTAATTGGAGCTTTTGCGGAGGGTCGAAGGGGCAAACCGCAGGAAAGCCACCCGAGGTGACATTTAGATGAGGAAGGTGCCAGTCCCACGGTGCAGACTTTTGATTCAGGCGGTTGCTTTCAGTGCCGGTTGCTGACCAAACTTTGTTTTCATTGTGGGGGAGGCGCTGCGCCCTCCCCCGCCACTACTTCTTTGCATTGACAAGGGTGGATGACAAGGCGCACTTTCGCTCAGCTGACAACGTCGCGAAATTTTTTTTCAAGGTTTAGCTGTTTATCTTCAGTGTTGGCGTGAACATGTCCAATGACACATGACCTGAAAGACCCCACAATGGTGGATGCTGAGGACCACTTCAACACACTGTTCTATCCATTTGTCTACACATCTGTTTACCAATCCGTCTATCTGTCTACCTATCTGCCTTTCTATCTACAGTGTCTATCTATCTGTCTGTCTGTCTATCTATCCATCTATCTATCTGTCTATCCACCCTCGTGGCCTGGGCTGCCCCCTATCAGTGAAGAAGCACGGGCCAGTACGGGAGTTTCCCATCCAAGGTCTGTGGTCGGCCCCCCAGGCGCATGGCTGTCAAATCGAAGCCAAGCAAGCCTGCCCCAATTGAGGAGGCATCCGAAATCACGCCGGGCGCCACAGTGGCGACCAGCCTATCTTTGCCAGATGTCAAGATGACTCCCAGGCTTCTGGAAACTGAGGTTGAAGCAGAATTGCTGCAGACTGCTCCAACAGATCCAGCCATGCCGGATGAAGGCCCCGCGCAAAACCAATCTACTATGCAGGACCCTGTCACCGCTGATGTTGCAGAACCGAATCCTCAAGGGGACCCGGCCACGGATCTCCACCAACGAGGCGAATCGAACTGTCCGCAACAACGTGGTCGTTTTGAACCCATTACGACCCGTCTGGTTTTTGTGAGCTCTTCCGCAACAAGGTGGGCATCAACATAACACTGAAGACTGCCACAACTTGGTGGGGAAAAAACCTGCGTTGGTCGCTTTTCTGGGCCAAACGCCGCACGTCCCCGAAACAAACATGTTTTTTCAACCCTTGGGGCGTGCTCTGAGGTCTAGCCTCGCATCGGGAAGGAGGTAGATCAAGAAGGGTGACACAAGAAGGGTGAAACATGATGGTGAGACAGACTACCCTACAGCCTGGCTCTCAGAAGTAAGTAGAAGACCTCCAAGTAGTGACAACCAGAGGCTGGCCGTGTTTATCTTCCATGAACAAAAAACATTACATCCGACAATTTGTGTTTTTAACTATCGCTGCGCGTTGCAAGGTCGGAGCCAAATGCGCAAAAAGTACATGAGATGGTGAAAAGTCTGAAACTACACAAGAGGGAAGAAACCTCAGTCAGACAACAAAAGCCGGGTGAGACAAGTGAACCATACGAGCAGATCGATCGGCTGGAATGATTGGTGTCCGCTACCTCGCTGCTGGATCCTCAAATTTCCAGGCCTGTCATTGGTGCTTGATAGATCGAGTAGGATGTGGATTCCCATCTAGAATCTAGCATGACATGTGCCCTTGCACCGGACAGCGTGAAGCAAAAGATGTGAGTGACGCTTTGCACACATTACAGGTTGAACTTGATAAAGTCAAAAGTCGAGGAACACTTCTTGTCATCCTTGGTTACTCAACTACTTGGGTGGAAGGAGTGGGACGCATGAGAAATGAACCTAACAGTGCTCGCGAATTTTCAATTTTGCCATGGACGGTTTTTCACCATTTGTGCCTTGTGGCCGAATGATGCCTGTGTGTATGTCTTGAGGCAGTTTCATGACAAGGAGGGAAGTGATGGTGAAGGCTTCGATGTTTATGGTGTTTGTTTTGAGAGATTCTTCTGGCTCTCATGCTCGTACCAGTGGTCCATTGCTCTGTAAACAGCGCAAAACTACATCCAACCAAAACCATCAGTTATTTGACAGTAATCATTGTTTTGGGCAATGCAAGGGACATCGGTTTGCAAGACACGAAAGGAATCAGATCAAGTCACACTTTGTTTTTGGCTCAATTTGTGCAATTCCCTTTTTCCTGTTTCCTTCTCTCTGTACGTTTCCTCCTTTTCTCACCATTGGTAAAGGGATGTGGAAGTTGCTGCTACTCTCTGGTGCTGATGGCATCAGATGATCACCGGAAGCGGACATCACATGTGTTTTACCTCCAGTTTGCTCACTGGCGAGGCTCGGCCGTCTCTTTTTGCATAAGGGCTGAAACAGTTCCAGGGTTGTGCGGTTGGCATTTTCTGGGTACCTTTTTGGGGACCTGTAGCTACAAAACTCATAGAGAGCGGATTTCCTGCAATATATCGTGAAAGTGATGGAAAAACCCTTGGAGGGGTTGGGGGCACCCATGAGACATTCTTCGCCAGGCCTGGTTCAAGCGTTGCTGGCGTGTGCGGTGGCGGGCTTCCTCTTCATCACTCTTGTGCACCTAGGACTGGACTTGACAGCGGACACCCCAGCTGCATGGTTTGGCAGCATTTCTTTAGCTTTGGATTTTCTTGTTCATTTGACTGGGGTAAGACTTCTTGAACTGACCCACAGCCATGTAAACTGACGGGGAGTTAGAGATGCTAAGACAGTTGAACCAAAAGTCAATGATTTCTTGGACTCGTTTCCCTCGGGGCTGGAGTTTGGGCGGCCGGCTGAGGTATCGTGCACCCCATGCCAAGGCGGAGCAGGGACCTCTATGGGCACGTGACTGGGGATCCCAAGATCTTGGTGGGCGATTCAGGATGTTTCCAACCACCAAGACCCGAATCTGGGTTTTCCATCAGCAACAGCGTGTTCCGTTCGAATCGGCTCCAATTCCTCAGACCGATCCTGCTAGGCCCCGACCACCGCCCCGACGACCCCGGCGAAAAGCGCCATTGCTGCGCCGCCGCCGCGGCCGCGGCCGACCAAGCGGACGACGCCAGTGCCGGAGCCGGAGCCACCGGTGACGCTGGAGGAAGATGCTGCGCGGGTGAAACGAGCCGATCGGTTTCCTGGACCGGTTTGGCGCGGTGCGGGTACGGAGGGTGAAATTGGATGGAATCTGGAGTTCAAAAGGCTTAACTCCCGCCATGGTTTTGTGGCGGTGGCGGGTGGTTCGAGGCTGGCGCCGTTGCGCTTGGAGCTGTCGCTGTGCGGGAACTTTGCAGAGCAGCGACTCCAGCTGACCAGTGCTTTGTTGGCTGGGCTTCTGCTGGGTGCTCAGGTGGGGAGTGGCATGGAACTCCGGGGTCGTTCTGCGGGTGCAAATAGGGAGACATCCGCAGGGTTGGGGTCCAATCCTTTCTTTTGGGCAACTTGGGAACGATAAGGTCACCTGAAGGAAAAGGAGGGTTGTGCGATGGTGTTGTGTGGCGGGGTTGTGATGTTGGGACTGGGATTTCGAGGTGATCGTCGACATAGAAATTAGTGGAGCATCACTTTAAGCACCCTTCGTGTCCGATCGCATTAAGCCCTTTGTGTCCCGCCCCAATCGCCAGGTGGTTTTGCCGTCCCAGATGGCTAGTGGACGTGTGACATTCGGCCACTTGGACATCTCGGGCCGAGTCAGGCCGAGGTTGGCAGTTTTCCACCAGGTTTTGGTCAGGACCGGAGTCCATTTTCCTTGTGACTAGTGAGGGGATGAGACCCGGACCACGGCGGCGCGAGGTGTTCCTTTTTTTTGCTTGATCAGGGTCCATGGGGCGTCGCTTCTGCTGATGCTATGAGTTTTTTCTGCAAATAGACCAGATCTATCTAGGGTGAACAGGCCGCTGCTGACGAGCCAGGCGAGCTATTTGACACTGAAATCCTGTTGCACTTGGTGCCTGTGGCCTATACCAGATACTGGTGTGTCAGGAGGCCTGGCACAGACGCTGTATCTAGAGAGGATGCTCTAGCAAATTTCGCAAGTCAAGGCGGTTCAGTTCAAAAAGAATCATAATTTTAAAGATGGTTGAACTTAAAACAAAAACCATAATCAATCCCAATTCCTGCTTCAGTGCAATCCTCGTGTCTTGGTTTTATGTCGCAGGGTGCATGGTGCTTCCAGAGCTTCCATATGGCTCCACTTTATTAACGGCCAATCTCAGTTTGACAAGTAGGCCAAAATTAAGAATGGATGCGACAGGTTTAAGTTTTAAGATAACCACAAAGACACACAAACAAACACACACACACACATTATGTGTGTGAACGCACATGTCATGCTGCCACCAGGTTCAATATAAAAAGGGATGCCAACCGCGCCGAGCCAACCACTATCCAAACATCAAGTGTGTGAATCTGACGAACATCCACAGATTTATGTCTAGTCAAGATTCTGTCAATCGCCCTTGCTTTCCACACAAAGGAATCATAACTGCGGACAGTGCCCACCCAAAAGTTATGATTCTTAAACATGCTATAGTTTCCCCAAAAAAGAATCATAACTGGTGACACAGCCCACCTAAAAGTTTTGATTCCAAAACAGTGTTATAGTTCAAAAAAAGAACCATAACTGGCAGCACTGGCTGCCAAAAAGTTATGATTCCCAAAAAAGTTATAGTTCCAAAAAAAAAAGAATCATAACTGGCTGCACTGGCTACCAAAAAGTTATGATTCCAAAATATTCCAAGCAAAAAAGTTATGATTCCAAAAAAAGTTATATTTCCAAAAAGAAAAAGGAACCATAACTTATGATTCTGTTTTTCCAAACAGATGCATAGCCTAAATCTAACAAAAAGCCTTCAAAATCAATTGTGTTTGCTAGTTTTGAGCTATGTGTTTTAGTGAAAAACCTAGATTTACAGAGCCCCAAACTAGCAAACACCTTTGATTTTGAAAGGTTTTTGATAGTTTTTGGCTATGATTCTTTTTTGAAAAAAGAATCATAAGTTATGGTTCCTTTTTTTTGGAACTATAACTATTTTTTGGAATCATAACTTTTTGGTAGCCAGTGCAGAGAGTTATGGTTCTTTTTTTGGAACTACAACTTTTTTTGGAATCATAACTTTTTGGTAGCCAGTGCAGCGAGTTATGGTTCTTGTTTTTTTAAACTATAACTTTTTTTGGAATCATAACTTTTTGGTAGCCAGCGCTGCCAGGCATGGTTCTTTTAGAATTACTTTTTTAGAATCGGAATATATACTAGCTTTTGCTTTGGAATTACAATCTTGTTTGTAGCCAGCGCTGCCAGTTATGGTTCCTTGTTTTTAACTATAGCTTTTTTTGGAATGATAGCCGATGTTTTGCAATGGCAAGAAGCAAAATACTTCAGCCTCCAAGTGAAAGGCCTTGCCTTTCAAACCTTTGTTGTTTGCGTGGTGTAGGGCAAGATGCTTGAGCGAAGCGTTTGTCACCCAACAAAGCCACGGAGCTGATGATAGACTGAAGGCAGAAGTCGCTAGTCACAGGAGAAAAAAGAGACAAGCTGGCTCACACAGACTCACAGATGGCCGTGCGCCATGCGCAGTTTGTTGAGCCCAGGGTTTGCTTGATTGGTATGTATGTTTGCATTTTCCTGCAAGTTCCTAGTATTTGTACAATGTTTCCTGAGTCCAAACTTCTGGATTCACCTTGCTGGTATCTTTCTGCGGGATTGTAGGTTTTGTTTTTTGGTGTCTTTTCAAAAAACTTATAAATCTTTTTCAAGCAAAACTTTGGCTATAAACCCTGACCTGTGAAATTCTACAGGATGCTCTTCACAACTTGCAAATCGGGCCACCCGTGGGGTGCCGGTGAAAGCACTGCCAGTCTGACTGGGCGAGTCAATGGAAGCGATGCCACGAGTCTTTGCCTGACAGGAACTGGACAGCTCATTCCGTCTGGTGTGGACAAGACTGGCTTCCTGGCGTTTTGACGCGTGAGGTGGTGGAGGAGTTAGAAGCTGAAAACAAGGCAGGAGCTGCCCTGCCAGATTAACTAAGTGTGACATCGACAAAGACCGCAGTTTCAGTTTGCGCTTAGTGGCCACAGGGCTTGTTAATTGGTCACAGTTTTCATTAGGCCACAGTGGACTTCAGAAGTAATTACTGGCAAAACTGCCGACAGCACAAGGGAAGGTAGGGCAAGTTAACAATATGCATACTTACATATTATACATACACTGTATATATGCATAAATTCTGAAACCACCAAAAACTATAAATGGTTCAGAAGGCCAAAAGCCATCAATCGTCCTCTAAACGGAGGTGGCCCAAAAAGCCCTCAGGTCTTTGTCGGTCTTTCTATTTGCGGGATGGACTAGCATCCTATATTTGCATAGCCACAGCTAAATTCTAAACATGACACCAACCCCCGGTGAGGCGCCGCAGGCCCCCTGGGCGAAGATGGCGCTGCCAAAGGACCGAACGGCCGCAGACTTGCCGAGACGCTTGGGCGAGCTGATTCGGCCGTTTGGTGTGGGAAATGAAATTGAGCACCTATTTTGGAAGTGGTCGATGGGTCTGACGCTTTTTTTTGGATTAAGAGTTTGGGTTTTGTACGAAGGTAGCAGGTAGAAGTTGTGGAATGATTTGCCAGATGTTCTGTTCCCGGCATTGGACTTGCATGTGCAACAATACAGATGTTCATCCAAATTATTGTCTTCCAGTTGATGAACAGTTTCGCACTCCGCACACAGGAGTGTGACTGGGGGCGAGCTGGAGCTGAATAAAACTAACACTTTAGACCCAGGTTCAGTCGTCCCTGGTTGCCTTCGCCTTGTGTGCTGGGGTCGTTGCTCGTTGCCAAATCAGCCTGCATTCGTGGATTCTGGAGTGCCCAGACTGGTTGACCTTTTTCCTCTAAGGACTGGGTGAGGAGTTGTGGAGGAGGCTTTTGCCCAAGGGGCTGCCGGAGGAGATCCCACGCCGGGGCCGTGCCGTGCCGGTCGTCTTGGGACCGACCATGTTTGGAGCAACAGGGATTTGTCATATTTGTGGCGGTGGTGGAGTGATGTGGAGTGTGTGCGGCGGAAAGACCACACCTCCCGAACTTCGGAGATTGCGCCGTGTGGATTCGTGCGGATTGCGGAAGATCTCCTCCACTGGAAAACACCGGTCCTCTCCGCCGCTCACAGGATGGAACGCTGAAGACCAGCAGTGCCATGCTCCTGAAGGTTGACTGCAACTTCTATCAGCAGGACTGCTAGAAGTTGGACAATCTTCGGGGCCCGTTCGTAAAGAGGTGGATTTAGCCTCTTTTGGGCTTGAAAAGGCCACAGTTTTTTGGGGGGGCCTGGCCCCTGGCAGCGAGACAGATGATGTGAATGGACAGGCACATGAGTTTTGAATTCAGTGAACGACGATCGTCGATTGTAGACTAGTCAATGTGACTTCCATATTGGATGCTTCGACCCATGGCAACGATCTGAAGAAGTCGACCCAGATATGCTCAGAAAATGAGGGAACCATTAATCAACTACTATAGTTGTATATTTAAGAGATATCACACGGTGCTTGGTTAGAGATATTTTCTCACAACCTTGATTGTTCTTCAGCACCAGTTGACGAGTTCCCCACTGTCCCATGCATGCACCACCTGATGAGACGGGCAGGTCAATATCAGCGAGCCAGATAGTGCTTTTAGGCCGCTTGGGAGGGCGGACAGACCTGTTCCTGCACAGCTGCGCACAGCTGCGCTCTCGGGCTTTGACACCGAAGAGCCTGTATCCGGATACCCAAGACAAAACCTAGTCAAGGAGATGCTTAAAACTGGAAGATTGTGCAGGCCCAATCAATTGTGAGGTTGATCACCTGTTGGCTTCGGCCTTTAGAGATAACGTCATCCTTCTAGTCATGTTTGTATTTGCTGTCAAAGTGGGGAATTTCTTGCCTGTCAGGTTCTTCTGGGAGATCTCGGACGCGTTGGTCCCTGCGGAGAATATTTATGAGATTGTGGAAGCCACGAAGAGGAGAGACGTTGGAACTGAGTTTGTCAAGTCGGGGAGGCCATCAGCTCTCCTTGAGGTTAGTTTTTTGCACCAGCGCGTGAAGATCAAGGAATTCTTTTTGGTTCTTGAGGGTCATTGGATCATCCGGCTGAATCAGCATTAATTTCTTCCAGATTAGCGGGCTGATTTGTCAGACGTGGCTGCTGGCGTTGGCAGGAACATCTTCAAGGGCTATGCCCTCCAAGCGGAGAAGAAGTCCAAGTTATTGGGCTACCAAAATACCGAGGCCTCAGCGGTGTGGGTCGCCTAAGAGAGTGTTTGGAACTGGGGCCAGGGTCAGTGCAGCTCTGGCATCCTTTCACCCCACTTAGCGTCACCAATATATTAGTTCCCGAGCAGCGAATCTTACGGAGATCAGAGGTTCTGGAACAGAGGTTCCGGAAAATACCAGAGCAGGTTCCGGAGGAGGCAGGTTCCGGAGCAAGCTTCGTGGCAATTTTGCACCTATGTTGATATGCTGTCATTGTCGTGGCGCAATGCTGACATGTCATCAGCATGTTGTTATATATGCCGTCAGGCTGCCACACTCTTATGGTCTTATGGTGTGTGCTGCCATCTCGACATTCTAATGTATGCCAGGTGTTGTCATGTCACGCGGATATGCTGACGTGTTGTGCCTGTTAGGGCGTTGTCATGCTTGATGTGGGCACATGTGTCGGTGCGTAGCCAATGTGCTGCGTTGTGCTGGCGTGGCACATTGAAATTCCAAGCAGCGTGGTCTGGCTCAGACACAGCGCTTGTTAGTGAACTTGCGATGTTGCCATTGGCTGATACGCGGATGTATGCCTCGGATTCTTCAGATTTTTTTGTTTTTGTAGATGGTCAAACCATTTCAAGACTGTAGAAGTTCCAGTGCAAACTTTTGGTTGAAGTTGTGAAGTGGAGGACTTTGGTGCCAAGCTGATATTGAGTCGATCATGAAGTAGAGTGTGTACCAAAGCAGGAGAACTTCTTCCTGCTACCAGAAATGCAGCATCTGGGGGTTTCTCTGGGGTTGGAGTGGTTTAGGGATGTTGATAAGTGCTGCGCAGTGACCACTAGCTGCTTCTCACCATCGGGGCCATCGGGGGGCCCATTCTTTGTTTCGTGTTGGCGTCCCAGGAGGTGAGCTTTGGCATGTTGGAGTTGACGAACGAGGAGTGCTCAGAGCCCTGCGTTGACGTAGGTGCCTTGGGAAGGTAGAGGTGACAAAGTAGCAACCTGCAGTTCTGAGGGTAGAGAGGAGCTTTTTCATACTGAGATATTCCCGCCCAGTTTTCCAGAAGATTTTCGAGACTTCAGGGATTGCGGATATATATATATATATAAACAGATCAGCCTTAGGTTTCGAATCCGATTTACCATTTGCCCAAACATTACGTACAGTAACATGGCATTGCGCCGACGAAACACGTACACATGCCAGTGATGAATCGACTCCTTTGCTTGCGATCGATGCATGCAACGATCCATTAGAAGAACCTTCTTAGTGACCCTCTTCTCGTAGGTCGTGGCCTTTGTAAGACCTCTATGACCTCCATTTTAAGGGACCTCGTGATTCTTCGGTCAAGCAAGGATCTTCCACAGCTGTTTCGGTCAAGCGATGCACTCTTGACCGAAAGGTCGTTCCTCTCATCTGACAGGCAATGTGCTGCTCTCCGAGGGTGTCTCGCCCTTCATGCCGATCTACGTGACCGGGGCCGCGCTGTTGTCCTCGGCCTCAGCCAGGAGGCACCGAACGTGAGGAGAGTGCGGGGGCCATGAGTGACTCGAGTCACTGCACCCACAAGCCTTGAACGATTCATCCGCAATGAACACCCGGAATGACGCCAAAGTTCAGGCCGCTCAATAATTGAAGAGGGGTTTACACGCCAGACCTAGTGGGTAAAGGAACATCTTTCCAGAGGAGCTGAATTTATCGAGAATTAGGCGCATGAATCTGGCCTTCACTCGAATGCTCAGAAGCCTCCAAACACGTGAACATCAGATGGCACAGGCTGGTGCTGGACAAGGTCTATACAGAAGCCTGGCACAAGATAATCTTGCGTTGCGATTGACTTGGTGGAAAGTGCAAACCCTCAAGTCGCTTCTTTTCTAGGGAAAAGGAGTGATCAATTTCAGTTTGGCTCTCTTCCAAGGGTCAAACTCGGTGTTCTTACCCTCTACTTCCCCCAAGACACTCGTGGAAGAGCCTGTAAAAGGTCGTTCTTTTCTTTCAATGTCCATCCAAGAGCGTTGGCTCAAGAAGTCCTACCTTTGAGGACTTCGTGCATCCTCACCTCCACCGCACCGGCCCAGTCCTGCGAGCGCCGTTTCGACCGTCCGGCACGGCCCAAGGTGGTCACCAAGCAGATGCTGGAGCTCCGCGTCGCCTCGCGTGCGGAGGAGCTTGTGGAGGCGATCGACTTCATCCTGGCCAAGCACGCCAGCATGTGCCTGGGGCGAGACGGAGGTGTCGGAGGGTACCACAAGCGCTGGAGCTTAGCTCCAGCCTGTGTGCACACACCTTTGGGAAACGAGTGAGCGTTTGATCAATGAACGGATAGAAACAGGCATTACAGTGGACATGAATGGAGCCCGAAGATATGAGACCTTTCTTTTGGTAGCAAGCCAGTGGTGAACTGGAGGGCCGCTTACTAGCCTGGGGGAGTACTGTAAGTACATCTAAACTTTAAACTACAGTAAACATAACTAAAACAAAATAATGTTCAAGCGGGTTCAACAAACATTCACATCGTAAATCAGCACAGGCTGAGCGTCTTCAATTAGCTCAACTTAGCCTTCCATATTTCATTGTTGTACAGAAATATAAAAGTGAACCCACATTGGCAATCACGACTCCACCTTAAGTTGGGTTTCATTTAGGGTTGTCACTGTGCACATCTCTGGTGATGTCTACACGAAGGCAATCTTGGGATTTGGGATTCGGGTCTTCGGTTTTCATTTTTGGCATTCTGTTTCCCTTCTTATCTTCTTCTGGCATTTTATTGGCTTCAATCGGGAGCAATTGTATTCCTTGGCCCCCCTTCCGATGCCTTTGCCTTTCTCATTCTCTTGGTTTGGATTCGGCTTTCGGCTTTCAATGTCTTGCTGTTGGCAGTCGCTAATCACCTACTAAAAATTGACCTTTTGGCTGGCTTCAATCTATGCAGATGCGTTTGTACCACTTGCCATCCATAATAATTATAGAATACATGAATCCAGACCGGTGTCAAGTCTCAACTTTGAGTTTGGGATGTCTTTGGCTCCTGTCCGGGCTGATCTCCAGATCGGATCATGTCGGTCATTCTTGAAGGTTGTCGGGTCTTGCATGGTGACTCATTCAATCGCCTCCAACAGTCCTTGCTCCTTGAAAGAAATGCTTGGCTTTTGCATGACCTGGGAGTCCTATCCGTAATTTTGAGTATGAGCAAGTGATGAGCCGATGGCAGTGCAGATGACAGCTGGTGCCATTTATGTGTGAGTAGATAACTATGACCCACCCACATGCTTTTTGACCATGCAACAGAACCTAACTCCACACAACTGGATCACTTGTACCAACATGCAACAGCTCCATCATCTGCACTAGGTTGTCTTTGGATGGCTATTGTTTGATTTCCTCTCCATTGCGGAAAATGCTTCCAATTGACACATGACATGGATGGATTGTCTCTCAGACGTGGCTTCCTGGCTCCCAGGGGGAGACCCCAAGCTTTCACGTCTTGTCTCCCGCCGCAGGTTCTCCGGGCCCTCGGGATCTATCTCCTCCTCCTTGGCGACCTTGACCCGTCTCCAGCTGGGCCGTCCCGCCTTTCACTACGACGCTTGGAGGGGACGCAGTGACGACCACCGGTCAGGTCGAAAGAAGCGCGAGGATGGTGGATCTTGGTGAGGACGGTGACCGAGAGAAGGTGACAGTTGTTCAGAGAATAGGGTGACATGAAAGTATATATGGGTATAAGGTATAAGGATCACCTTTGGGAGTGCTTGTGCAAACGAATTATATAAGTCCACAGTTGATATCCTCTGCCATAGGACCCTCTCCACAATGTACCATGTTATGTGCCATCCAGCTTCTTCCCACTCAAATCTTCATTGAATTGTGGTCAGCCTTTGAAGCACTGACCCCTCGAGAAAGGACCAGTGCAATGAGAAACTCCCTCTTTGAATAGAACATATATCAAGCACTTCCCAGATGTGTGTTAGGACTTTCCTCTTGTCAGATTTCATGAACCGTTTTGCCAAGGATGGAGGAACGACGCTTCTGGAATTTCAAGAGATTTTGAGACCAAAGAAGTCTACAACTCTGCCCGTTTTTCGATACCCAATCAAATGGGTGCCGCTTGGAAGCCTGAAATTTTTTCTCCAAAGACGATCGTTGGGAGGAGGTTGGAGGCCATTACTGCTAGTAACAAGAAGCTACTAGTAGCTAGAAGCTATTGGATTGGAGGCCATCGCTAGTAGGTTGGAGGCTGTTACTACTAGTAACAAGCATCTATTAGTAGCTAGAGACCACTTCTGTGCACCGGACGCTTCGTGGTACAGGCACCCAGGTCATCGGAACTCGCCCAGGTTCGGTCCCTGGCGCCCGCAGTCCCTGGTCTTTCGATCCGACCGGACTCGGTCGGGACGAAGAAACCACGAGACCATCGTGAAGAAGAACTGGGAATGATAGGCCTGATGCAGCTATGGAGTGGTTGACATGGTGGTCATATGAGTCTCATATGAGTCATATGCCCCCCGAGGGATTTCTTCGCCTTCTGAGGTTTTCCCTTGCCGCACGTGCCAAGATTTCCTCCGCCTGGAACATGAGCCTGGCTGCAGTCAGAGCCCCGAAAGCACGATGGAGCGTTTGAAAGGTTTTGGTCGGTGGGGGGGTGAAAGAAATAGGACAACATAATGATCAAAAGACAGAATATTGGAATGAGCTGTTTCCCTATCAGTACCCATTGGTGGCGGGTTGCCCTATTAAAATACACCCTGACCCCCACATTGGAATGAGCAATTTACTTTTGTGTGGTCATTCAACATACAACACCTTGAGAAACGATCGCGGGCCAGTGCACCAGCAAGTAAGAGATGCCCCCTTGATGCCACGATGGTCCATCCAGTTTTGTCGTGGCCATGCAAAAGACAATAGGATGCAAGTAAAGAATGGCTGGTGAGCGGTGTATGAGGGGCATCTCAGTCTTCAGTTTGACTCCGAGTGTGTCATGACCTCCAGCCTCGTGGTGGAATACGAGCCACGGCAGCCATCCAAGCTTGGGATAAATCTTGCACAACTGGAGTACTTGAACCTTCTGCTAACTTCTGCCTCTAACTTAATAGCGATGGCCTCTAACCTAATAGCCATTGCCTCCACCGGGGAGGTGTACATGTCACGACTTGCACACAAGCGGGGCAACTTTGCGAGCCGTCGGTGGTCGACACCTTTGTCGCACAACAGCAGCTGGCACGAGCGAGACGTGTTTGGTTAGTGGCAGTTAAAACAGAGGAATATTATGGCAATAACACATCTGTGATACCCTCAGATGTTCTGGGCTGCACAGGCGCTACAACAATCACCACTAAAAAGATAGTTGCCTTACATAATATAGTATCGTATAATATCCATATTTAATTTATATCGAGTGAATGGACAATCACTCGAAACTAGTGATTACATAGTGAGGGAAGGTCTTGCGGTCGAGAAGATTGCTTCGCTCTGTCCGGCTGCGTCCGTACGCACGGGCCGTGCGAACCCAGGCCGTGCGGTGCGCCCGTCGTCTTGCGCTCAACGCCGGTATATCATGTGTAGATCATGTCCTCACCTTGTCCTGACAGGTGCAATTTTTTGTGTGATGTTTCTTCAAGGTTTTGGTACGGACGCTGTTGTGAAGACGATGACAGACCGAACATGTGTCAAACACGCACAGTTGAATTGGAGAAACGTCATGAAACGTCACCAATCGGCATGTTTAGCGCAAGTCAATAACCTGCGTAGTTGAATTGGAGGCCGCTCGCTGTCCACATGTAGAAGAATGAGACCAATAGAAGCACATAAGTTGTGCACTGTCCACGAGGAGCAAGAGGCGAATGCAGGATGCTATTACCTCAGAGTTTCTAATATTTACTGTACATAGATATCAGATATGAGGTGCTCATTTTGTTCAGTACTCTTTGTACCAGGTCCACCAAAAACTGTGGGGAAGTCTCTTTTGGAGCTGTCACTGTCACATCTTAGAGGTCCTTTTGAGCTTCGGCAACCACCTCCAACGAGAGGACCGGCTTCGTAGGCTTCGATCGGTCTGCCCTGGCCGGCCGGGCGACGCCTCGAGGAAGTTCGGCGGTCCATGGGGATGCTGTGGTTCCGGTGTGCCTCACTGACGCAGAGCCAGAGAGTGTGATGGTGAAAGCATTGATCCAGACACTCGACCGGTGCTGAAGATGGGGTGAAGATGGACCGTTTTTTCAGCTATTGATCACTGGACGGGTGGTACTGGTTGGGTGGATGTTTCTTTTTGGTGTCGGAGCCATGTTTACGGCAAAAGCACGACCTGGCTCGAGACTTGCTGTATTTTCCATTTACTAGTATGAGTTTTCGAGGAAGCACCACTTGCTGCTTGCTTTGCTTTTGGTCTGCAATCGTAGTACGCTAGATTAGATTGTATAGATTAGATTGGACAAATATATAGATATAGATAGGGTCTGTCCTATTACCTGTAACAGTCAGTAAACAATTATCATCATTTTTGAACAAGGCCTTTTTTACTCACCAGTATCATCCGCTGTTACAGGTAATAGGATTGACCCAAGATATAGATGATAGATGATAGTAGATGAAGCCACGCACTTCTAGATGTACCTTTCCCTCGATCCGAATCCCCCTTGACTTCAAGTTGGGAGCTCCAGATCCTTCCAAGTCCGGATTTTGCAACACAGCGCTGACCCTATCTATTGGTTTGTGCGGTCCGTGAACCTCTGCCCACCCATACCAGCGAGCATAGTCACTTCAGGACTACATCTTGTGGCATGACGCGTGCACCTTAAGGGCTGTGCACATCACCTTTCACAGTTTGAAACGGACAGGTGTTGACTATATTGACTACATCTTGCTGTTCGGAAAGATATGGTCAACCGTCAACACCTTTGGTTAGATAACATGTGCAAGATTCCTAATTTGAAATATTCCACATTCATCTATTTCAGGCTGACCACAGCTGAAAGAGAAGATCTCCAACAAAAGCCACATTCTAAGTTTTTTCTTCAACCTCTTTTGCCATCGACATCAGAATTTGAGGCCCCTGAAATGTTTGCCTTTTCACACACTCTCGCGCAATGAGCATATTTTCCTCGGGTTTTGGAACATTGAAGTGAGATGGCCGGAGAGGAGGTTTCTTGGGAATAGCGTGTAGCTTTCAAAGCACAACACGCCCACGTGCCATGACCCGTGACACTGGAAAAAAAGATTCAATGTCCAAATGCTTTCCGGAGGGGTGGACAACTTAATGGCAAAAGAGAGGTTGGGTTGTTTGCGGGCGGTGCAGAATGCTAAGAGTCAAGAATCTCTTCTAGATTATTGGCTTTGCAGACTATTGGATTCCTTGCTTTAACATCAATATTAGGTGTGGCTGCAACAATGGCCAAACATTTTCCTGTGGAAGACACAACTGACTGAAGTCCTTGAATTGAATGAAATGCTGGGAGACAAATCATGAGGGGTGTCCATCGTCTGCAATGTTAAGTGCTGTCGAAGGGCATAGGGTTGCTTTGGCCAAGCCTGCTTGGGGCACCCCCATATCCACATGCTATAGACAATTTTGAACAAACCTTTTGATATATAGAAATTTGACCATCAAGATTTTGAACAAACCATTTAACCATGGATCTCGTGTCGTTGATCTCGTCGAGATTATGCCCATCCTCGGCTTTTGTCGCTCAGGTTGGGTGTGCGGGTCTTGCATCATTTGCCTTCTTGGGCAGACACTGCTTCTGCTGTGTGGAGGCAATGGACACTTGGCTCCGCACATGACAGTGGCACCACGCGTGGTGCCAGGGGGTACGAACATCACGTCCGGAGATTGGGGTAGGTCACAGGTCACGGTGAAGCAAGTTACAGTATTCAACACTCCAGTCGCCAGTCTCCATGTTTTCCAGGGAAACCACACTGTTCTCCCTGTTTTCTCCCCATGTCGCAAAAAGTGGCCATGTCATAGGTGACATGGGAGCTGTCATCTCGTTGGAAAATAGTCATTCACTTGAAAAACGGTTTCAATGGGATGTCGGGCATCACTTGGATCGATTTTCGAGGTGATTCTGCTGCCTTGGACGATCTCTCATGTTTTCGATCCCTTATTCTCCCATTCCAACGCGCTTCGGCCGATGTCTTTCTCGCTGGTCCGAGTCCTTTCACTTGCGCGCCGGCGCATGGGTCCGTGTTTCACGTTTCACGGTGCCCAGGGAAAACTTCAGCTTGCACTGAAGGATTCACAAGTGCTTTCAAACGAGGTGGATACCGAGGGGTGATGTCCACTATTTTCTGCGTCTATGCTAAGCTGCTAACCCCTACTATAGAGCAGGCTTCATCCTTCATTGGCCTCATCCAGCCGAAACAGCCTGTTCCAGAGCACGAGAAAGCAATACACCTTGAGACTTTAGAGGATTACATTCCTCTTCCTATTCGATCCAGCATGGATGATCAATGTATCCACTCAAGAGGTGGCTAGGTTGAGTTGGCCCATCCCCATCACGAATTTGCTCCCTTACACATGCGAGGAGGGAACCTCCAAGCCTGTGAACATCTGGGAAGTGAAACCAAAGTCCTGTTGAAGCACGGGTGTTTCACTCTGGTTCTCTTCTTTGTTGAACTTGTTGAGTCGGCTGGCTGACAGGGGAGCTTTTTTTATTCATGGAGGAATGTTGAAAAGGATGCTGTACGCAGGGAATGTTGTCCAGCATGGCTGCAACCCGCTGCATGGCGAGGAAGAGCAAGTCGGAGCGGAAGTGGAAATTCACGTTTCCCGAGTTCGACGATTTGAAGGGCGCATGCATGCGCTTGGATGCCAACTGCTCCCAACTTGGAAAGCTTTTCTGTTGGTTGTCGGTTGCTTTCGAATGATCTGGCGATGTTTTGTGGAGTTCATTTTGCATCAAAACCTATTTGAATGCGCCTGGGCTTCCTTCGGCTTCGAAAAAAAACGAGAATTTCACCCGGAGAAAAGTCACCAGATTCTCACCAGAAGTGGGGCATTTTTCAGGTTCCAGTGGTAGGGATCCTGGACCCCTTGGTGCTCTACACCGATGTGGACATTCTCTTCCACGAGCGGCTTGAGTGGCCGAAGATCCTGGGACTGACGGAGCATGGTGACCGAGATCAGGTTGGGAAGCGCTGAAACGGTGGGGTCGAAACCGTTAGAGCTGCCGAAACGGTGCGCTGAAACGGTGCGGTGCGAACCTGAAACGGTGCGGTCGAACCACTCGCGGAGCGAGCCCGGCGGAGCGAGCCCGGCGGAGCCCTTCGGATCGACCACCGGGAGTTCCCCAAGCCCTTCCCTCCCGTGGACGTCGATCCGCATTCAAAGCGAGATAGCACTGGTCTGTGACCTTCCAAAAGATGCCCTCGGTGTAAAACAACACCAGGTCCGTTTTGGACACCATCCAAAACACCGACACCGTGGCAGGAGGCCTTGCATGCCTTGGCGCACAGTACGGAGTACGGTACCTTCACTCACCCCAGTGGCGGCATACCGGAGTTCTTCAGCATGGCTACGGAACTCATCCAGAGCTACAATGTGGAGAAGACCGTCGCTGGACCGGTGAGGACTTCTTTGGAGGTCGGGAAGGAAGACAGCAGTGTGGTGTTTCGGTGGAAATTGGTGGGAATAATATTCAAAACCAGGCATGAACATTCGTCCCGGCGAGGCTGCCTGCCACAGGCGAGGTGGTTTCTCGAACCTGGTGGGTGGGCAACGTGGTCCAGGTGGTGAAACATGATTTCGAGAGGTTCGTTTGGTCCTTGGACTCGCCTTGGACCATTGCAGGGGCAGAAGAGCCGAGTTGATCTAGACCGGCACCGGATGGGGATTCTATGTGGCTCCACTTCCTCGTCTCGGTTGCTGTTGACGACAGTTTTTGTTGCTGTGTTCTTTCACTCAGGGGCTGACCTTCTGTTTCAGTGCGGGGCAACACCTCGGTTCCGTCAAGGGGAAGAGATACGGAACCTGAGACGTCTCAAGCTTCGATGTGGTGGTACTAGGATCTCTTCGTGACCAGCTGAGATGGAGGATCTTCCTATTGAAAAACCGGTGCCATAGTTCTTGGTGCTAAGGACACGGGCGTGATGCTCATGAATCTGCGCACCTTAGCAGAAATGCATCGAGAAAGCGGCCGGTTTTGGGCCGCTTCTCGAATCTTTTGGGCGATTGGTCGCTTCCTTGATGATTTCGTTCCCAAACACTCCGTGTAAGAATTTTTGCTCACGACCTCTGAAATCACCCCGACATGGGCAAACAGGCGATACATGGAGGAGTGTCTTGGGTTGAGTGTAGTCAACCTCGGGTTTCTAGGATGCTTCACCCAGCCCTTTTGGACTCACTTAGCGACTAGTGAGCTATTCTGAGGACCGGTGTTTTTGAGGCCATTTCCCCTCGGGGCTTTGTCGCCAAGTGCCGATAGCTGTGCGTGTTTGGGGTGCCGAATGAAACAGCGGCTAGGCTCCTCCGAAGTGAAGTCGTAAGTCATTTGGCTGTGTGGTACAAGAGGTGGAATGAGTCGACCCTTTGTCCATGAGTTGACCCGACCCTGGAGGGCCCCGGAGGGCTGTTCAGAATCGATATTTTTGGATATGAAGAGCTGCCGGAAATAGTTTTCGTTCCCCTGGTTTGAGGATATTGCGACAATCAACCAAGTGCTGCATTATACAGTTGGGAATGGACATAGGTCCACTCACAAAACCTATATACTGTAAATGGGTATATATATAATTTCTGAAGAGCAGTGTATTTGCGAGAGGCCTCTGCTCCACGGTGTTTCCTCCCATCTCCACAGATCTGGCAGCAGCCCCCCCTCTCTGGGTGCCAAGTTTTCAGGAAACTTGCAGAAGACCTATGTCAACTTCACTCAGTTCCTCTTCAACCGGAAGAAAGCATGGGATTATGTGAGGAGCTCGGCGTTTTGCGTTTGTTGCTGCATGATAGCTTTGTTTCATTTTGTGGCCAATGCTTGTGCATTTGTTTCTGACATATGCATCTGGTAGCTCAAAAATGGCAGGCATCCCTTCAAGCAAGACATCATGTCTTCTTCGGCTTTCTCCATCCATAGGTCCACCAGTCGGATCTGTTTAGACCGTCCCCTTCCGGTTCTTGGCGTCCACCGGAAGTGGGGGCGGTGGCTGCGGACGAACGCATTGTGACCAGGTGCCCTCCGATCCCTGCAACTACAAGGCCTTCTATCGCAGCAACAAAGGCGGCCGAGCGAGTGCCGGTACCCCTCGCTTTTCCAACAGCGAAGCTTAGTAGACAGCATTGTTTGGCAAAGACACGACACTTCTGGGTGAACTTGCGACGATGCTATTGCCTAGTAGGCGGATTTCGATGCCCAGCTGTTGGGGGGGTGACAATGTCAGCGTTCTGACAGGTCTGATCGAAAGTGGTAGAGAAGACGGGTATCCCCGGAAACTTGAATGAATCAGATTTAATCCATTCTTTCATTTCATGGCTGGAAATCCGGTAGTATTCGTATGTATTCGTGCTTTATGGGCACATCCATTCGTCATTCTTGACCTCTGCTCGAGGATGGAGACGGTCTTGGTCTCTGCTAGAGGTTCTGAGAGCCAGGAACCTCACTTCGTTCCTTCTGCAGGCAAGCTGCTTTCTGGGTCTCTTCCCTTCGCCATGTTGCTTAGCTGCTTTAGCAGAGAGGTTTTCTGCGGGATGGGAGCCCAATGGTCTTTCTTTGGCAGCAGTTTTTGGAATGCACATCGATATCCCAAAAACAGTAGGGAGCGGATCTTCCTGTGACGGAAGTTCATGGTCTTTTGTGGCTGATTTCTAGCAGGAAACCACATTGAACATCCCACAGCCCCCTCAGGGGATACCCACAGACCTGATTCATTGCGTCATGGGTTCCACACTTTGTCCTCTCTCCGGCACCCACGTGCTGTAAGTGGTTTCCGAATCATGGAGCTCAGTGGGGAATCGCCCTTAGCTGACTCCAAGAAAGGTATGAGCTTTGCGAAGAGTTGCGAAGGTGTATACTATTGTGATCTATTGTGGTGATTTATTCACACTTGCATTTGGCTTGCGGTTGCAAGTTTTATGTTCACAAAAGTCACCAAAATGTCCCACGGGGACATTTTGGCTCAAGAGAGAGGCAGTGCCGGTTCACTGCTCAAGATTTGAAACTGCGACCCCCTCGAGCGACTTCTTTCTATGCAGCACGCAATGGCCTCGCCGATGGAATCGGGCTTCGCAGGGAGAGTGAGACCCTCGAAGTGGACACCGTGCCAAGTCCAGACATGGCCGCTCTCAATGAAGAGTCTGCCCACGGCGGCTGCCGCCCTCGAGGCCTTTGGGACCCCCACCTTGGTGGAGAACTTGGATCTGGGGGCACAACTTGCTGCGCGGGCGGCCTACATCCTGCAGTTGGACTTGAAGTTTGGCTCCCCTCGGCTGCCGCACCCCTGGTGCCTCTGGCCCACGGGAGAGGCACCAGAGGTGGCTTCTGCAGATGCCCTGCCGGCTAATGACTCAATTGGCTCCGGCCGCTGACCCGCCTGCCGATGATTTGATGGAACCTCAGGAGCAAGGGCCGGTCTCTGTGGCACCCCGCTCACCTACACGACCCTCCTTCACCAAGACGGCCATAGACAAGCTCGAGGACCACTTTAGGTTTGCCCCCCCACCACACAGGTGGGTATATGTCGGACGCGCCTGACCTCTTTCAGTTCTCCATTGCACCCCGCCCACTGGTGGCTGATGCTTTTGCCGACTGAGGGCCACCCCACCAGGTGCGAGAATCCACACCCTCAGTTGACAGTGAACTTGAATAGGGTCAGAGGACTCAAGCATCAAACCAAGCTCCAGAGAGAAAAGGTTCTGCAGATCCTTTGGGAGCTTGGAAGGGATATTTTTTGCCTTGAGTACATAGAGTTATGTTATGTAGTGTGATATTTTAGCACCACTGCTGGAATAAATCATCGAGGTATCCATTTGGTGTTGAATCTTTGCTTTGGGCTTCACCGATCCCAACGTCCAGATGCACCAGACAAACGGGTCACCGGATCACTTCCGACCCGTGAGGAGTTGGAAGCCCTGGTGGGAGGTGAGCAGCGACGTTCTCATTACACACTTCCATGGTCCCAAATGCGTCCCTCGGCACCGGGGCCGGGGCAGTGCAAAGACTCCGCCCGAAGTGGGCGAAACCTTGCTCCGGGTGACCAGAGCAGGAAGTTAGTTGGACGACTCCTTGTATGTTTCAGTGTTGTGCTCTAGCAACCGTATGCGTGTTCGATGTGCAACTGTTTGTGCAACTGTTCCATCTAATCGAATCTATCATCAACCAGTGGTGTTCAGATTCAGAAGGTTCCTGCAATGCTAAGAGCACTATTTGGACATGTTGACAGATCACGTGACCTAGCACCACACGAAACTTTTGCACTGCTAGAGGGTGTTTAATTCTTCTCTTTCCTCTGTGTGGTGGTCATGCGGGTGGAGCAGAGGGCCGGGCCGGGTCTCCATGACCAGGTCTGATAGTGCGCTCGTTTATTACATATATATATAATTTAATTAAACTTGATCCTTTTGCACGTGGTTTTTGCTTGTCAACTTGTCGACCTCCGCTGCAGTTAGCCCGTTCTCGTGCTTGCCTACGACATACCGCTTGACTGATGGTTTCATTGTTTCGGTTCCAGAATCTGGTGTAATTGTGTGCTTCTCAATGTTTGTTGATGTGTTTGTCATTTTATCGAAATCTTGAATGGATGAAGTGAGGAAAACCATGAGAGGAAGGCACTGTCAACAGCTATTTAATTTCTATTCATCTATTCACTTCGAAATCTATTCAATTCATGAATCGTCCAAATCCACCAATCAACTAGAAGTTCATCCAGATCGACCGCCAAGCTGCTGCGTTCATGCTTCGCCACCGAAAAACCCGTCCTGGCGAAGCGCCGGCGAGGTCGTCCCGGCCGATGCAAGAGGTCTTCGGGTCACATCCCACTCAGTTTCGGGTCACATCACAAGATTTATGCAGTAGTTTCTCCTGAACTCTTTAGTTCTTGTTTTTTTCAGAAGAGGACTTTGTACGGGTGCGTGTTTTCCAGTGTTCTTGAACCCATTGTTTTAGTGCATGTTGAAAGGTGCGCTAGACTTTCAGGACGAGACCTTGTTGTTGCAGATAGTTTCGAAGGCACCGGTTTGGTTAGTTGTTGGTTGTTGGTAGGTGGTCGTTGTCTGTTGTGACTAGTAGTCTTGCTAGTTCATCGGATCTTGTGGGGGGGGTCGGCCCGCCAAACAAGAATTTGCCTTTTTGGTGGTATCGCCCCCACAGAAGTAATACCTGTGGGGCATCAAGCTCGCACAGGTCGCAGGGTGCATGGCATCAAGCTCCTACAGGTCACAGGGTGAATGGCGTGAAGCTCCCACAGGTCACAGGGTGAATGGCATTACCATCACCATTCCCATTAGCATGATGCCGGTAGCGTTGCCACAGGTCAAGGGTGAATGGCCATGACCAGTACCATGGACCATTAGCATTAGCATTACCATTGCTTTTAGCATCAGCATTAGTATTGCCAGTAGCATTCCCAGTACCATTGGCACTATCATTAGCATCAAGCCCCCACAGGCCACAGGGTGAATGGCACTACCGTTCCCACAGCATGGCGAATGGAATCAAGCCCCCACAGGTCACAGGGTGAATGGCATCAAGCTCCCACAGGTCAAGGGTGAATGGTTGTAACAAAAGAAGGCTCTAGACTTCTGTGGACGCATCCAGGACCGATTACAATACCACAGCCAATGCTAGACCTATTGCAACTAACAGTCCAAAAACACAAAAAACACAAAACGCTGGAAAGCACTTCTGAGGTAGACCTCCCAGGCAACCACCCCCAGCACACCCAACTTCCCCAATTTCTGAATCCGGACCAAATGAACCGGCTTTTGATCCAAGATGCGCACGACATGCGCTGCGACCCAAAAGACATCCCTCGTCAGATGACCCGGGTCAAGGATTCGGATATTTTGCCCTATGTCTACGAAGGGATGGTCCGTTTTGAGCCCTTTCGCTCGTTCTTGGAGAAGCTTCTGGGTGCAAATGGATGGAGCGGGAGGCTGTGTGCGGGAGACACATCGATTTTTTTATTTCCCAGAGGCCGTGTAGAGATAAAGGGCGGTGGGTGGACATTTGTATGGTCAGCTTGTGTAAAGTATGTTGTATGAGCTAAGTGAGTTTCAAGAGCCTTCATTCTGATTGATTGTTGATACTATTAGAGGGGACAAAATGGAACGGCTAATGATATCTCCTATGCCATGAGCTGGGGAGCTTCCCATCGTGCAAGAATTTGCGGAGGTTCTTCCCAGGGTTCAGATCATTGCAGTGGCTTGGTCGATGAACCGTACCCAAATTGGCTCCTGTTCCTTGGCTCCAGCAACGCCCCCACTAGGCCACTAGGCTGCTAGATAGGTACATCTTGGCCTGGGTGGGTACATATCCCCTAAAACAAAACCATGTTCACCTTACAATCTCGATTTTTTCCCGTTTCCCTCATCGGATCCTGTGTCATGAATTCTGAATTGCGGATCAAGTCGTGCTTTAGAGAGATGACAAGGACATGTGAGAAAGACCTGCCTTTCCTCAGCCGATTGTGAACAGAGTTCCAATGCACGACACTTTTGGAGGTGCCCAGCAGTGTGCCCAGCTTCCAGACTGTTTTGTTGGAACCCTTGGCATTCAATCCCCAACAGCTCTTGAGTTCTTTTCTGGAGCAGGATTCGAGGATTAACCTTGGGGATTCCCACAAACCTGACAGCGCCTAGGTGCTCGAAAGAGAAGCAGTGTCAGAAGCTCTGTCAATATTACCAATCTTACCTGCACTCGGTCTATCGGAGCTTGCGGAAAGCTCATTTGGTCCTTTCATGAGGGCCTTACGTGTGCCAGCCGTACGTATGCGTGCGGGTATTCCGGCATGCGCGGAGGCGTGAGTGAGATGCTGGTGCGACAGCGCTCCAAGAAACCTGGGGCGGCGTTCTGGCAATTCAGGGTGGTCAAAGCGAAGTGATTGTTTCCGGGGCAAGCACCAGGAAAGCTGATGCGGAATCAGTCTTTCTGATGAAGAAACTGCTGGGAGAGGCATACCTAAGCACCACGAGACTCCTCAGCTCCATTGACTCTCGCAGCGAATGCGCAAAAATAGGATTTCTCTAGGTGCCGGACAGCCTGTCCACCGAAGGGTTTCGATGTTGGCCACTAAGATGGGTTGAGCTCATGTGGGTTGATGCTTGCCTGAAGACCTTGTTTTCAACTCTTGGTTTTGAGCCATCCTGGGTCAGAAAGTGGGTAAACAATTCCAACTTCCGGCTGCCACGATCCCATTTTTTTTTCTTTTTGTCTGGACAGGCTTGGGGTAGTCAAGCAAGTGGCTTGACCTCTGAACAACAACGCCAACAGAAACAAGTGTAGCAAGGGCAGCAGCAGCACCAACAGCGGTAACAGAAGTGGCCCGACCCAGCATCCCTCCAATGCCTCGCCAGCAGTAGACTGGATAGCTCCAAGTAGAGTAACCTCCCTTCTAAGTTCCAGGGATTTTGGTGGCTACCGGGGTATTTTCTTCTATGACCACCCAGAATACCTGGTGACATGTTGCCAGCCGCATGTCGCCAGCCACATGTCGCCAGCCCCACGCTGAACATGCCGAAAAGGCCGCTGGGTTTTGTTTTGGGTTTGGGTCCAAGGACTTTGGCAAAGTGATGAGATCCTCACACCTGGCCCAACAAGAGTCCTCCGCAGACGTTAACTCCGCAAGTGCAGTGCAGGATTTCAAGGTTCTCACACCTGCAACCCTTCAATCTGATTCATGTGCAGTCTCGCAGGCTGCCAAGGGCCGCATTTTGCGTGAAAAAACACATCACACGCAATCATCAGTTGTAGGACAGCAACTGGTGGTAACATGTCTCCCCACAGTAAACAGAGAGAACCGTCTGCAACAACATAGACGGACATCGTCGAAGGAGTCGGTAAGACTCCTTCAAAGTTGCAGGGTTGGTAGAAGGCCAACCGGCGCAGCCGCTGGCTCCAAGACAGCTTGGTCACAAAGTCCAATGAGATTGTCCCAAGAGGGGAGAGCAAGCTTTTGATGGAACCTATTTATCACAAGGGCCACCCTTTTCTGAATTGGTCTTACAGGTGATTCATCGCTAGCCTCCCTACCCACTCCCCAAAAAAACAGGCCACATCAAAAGTGCCAAAGTTGCATCACCTTTCTTCTCCTTCCTGGAAAGCCTCTCCTACGAAGAGGCTGTAGCTCTTGGATCTGTACGACCGAGACCCCATCGCTACGCGAGACCAAGCGATGCTGGTGGCTCGAAACGAGACCCCAAAGCCATGTTATAGGCAACATGTTTTCGGCTTTGTATCTGTTCTCAGGATACGTACCAGGTGGTCTAGCATCAATATTATTTCATTGGCACTATATTGTACAATGTTGATATTGTACTCCCTGTAAGCCAGATATACAAGCTACATCAGATATTTACGGGTAGGACCCGTCTACGGCTCAGATGGATGTCGTATGATGATGAGGAGTATGAAGATGACCAGTCCGGACAGGCCAGACCATCGAGGCTTTCTACTGCTGATGGAAGAAAGACCTAAAACATGGTAATTATGTATTGAAATTGTCTTCATCACATGCAATGTTTTTTCTTTTTTCTAGACTCTAGACTTCTTTTGGTAGGTAGTATGGGGTGCTTATCCATGTTTATCCCATTCCGGCCCTGCCATTGATGAATTGCCACCACCCTTACTACACCAAACCTTCCAACCGCAACCCCTGAGTCTTTGAGCTTTGAAAAAGGGCCCTTCAAACGGCTCCTTCAATCGATCGCCTTCGATCGCCAGCACCACCCAGCACCACCTGGCGATCGAAGGCACCAGGACTGTCCTTTGGGCAACTGGCACTCTCTGGCGTGCTCTCTTCAGGGTGCCTCGATCTACTCTCGGAATCGACGCGGCAGATCGATGTCTTTTTGACCACTCATTCGTTTGGTTGGGCGGGTTAGTAGCTAGAGCACGGAAGTCTTTAAAACAATGTACGGATTGGGTTTCGATCACATTTCAATAAAGACATCGTCTCGGTCTCTACTGGAATCTTGTGAGCCATGGGCATTCTGTTGTGGTAACTGGGGATAATGGACAGGGAGTTGTCTGAAGATCCTATTAGAATGAATAAGATCATCCATCTTTTTGGAGAACTTGAGGCCGGACCATATTCCAAGATCCTCCTGCAACGAAAAGATAGGGGGGCCATGCCAGTTGCTCTTTCCAGTCTCAGTCTAGCATGAAAGAGACGTCGCGAGTGGCTGGAACGCACCGGGGAGATATGGGGAGATGGAGCTGGATCAACGTTGTCACACAAAAGCTTCCGCTCAGATGATGGAGCTTGGCAGCACTTCCGATCTCGGGATGGAGCTTGATGCCACTCGAGATGAGTGCAGCGGAAGCTGCGAGCCGAGCCTCGAGCCGATCGGAAGGCATCGCGCCGGGAACTACCCCGGTCTGAGGTATCGAAAGCTTGGGATGCTCATTGAACATTTGGAGACGCGCACCTACGAGATGCAGGCGGTGTGGTGCAGGTATTTTGGTTTTTTTTACCCTTTGAGCTTGGAGGTTTCCTCGACCGGCCAACCTTTTTTCAGGAGGTTGGAGCCATGGTCTTGGGACTGTGACTGCGCCAGATCATCATCCATCCTTGCCCAGCATGGACAAGAAAACCCCTCAGAGTTCCTGTTTCGGGAGCCGCAGGGCTGCAGAGCTTCCAAGGTGGGCTGAACTGCATCGTTTCAATCCACCTCTCCATAAGAATTCACAGAGGGAAATTCAATGAACACCCTGATGTGTCCTCCCATGGGTATTACAGATTGCATCGATTTGACCGTGGGACAACCAAATGGTTGTTTCTCCAACCGTCATACTTCGAGATGTCAAGGATTGATTGGCCCACATCCACCATTTGCTACTGGGAGATCGCCCTGCAAAAATGGAGTCACGCCAGCCGGACGAGTTCTTCAGAAGAGATCTGTATCACACGGCACCCTGGGCACCTGAGAAACCGGCAGGCCACGCCTCACGCCGTGACATCAATCTACTGCAGTAAGCCTGCCAAGACCAGAACAAAGGACAGGTTGAGCTTGTTTTGTATATGCTCCTCAATAAAACACTTGATGATCGGAAAGGACTATTGAATCAGTGGTGGGCCTCCAAGAAGACCTCAGTCCCTCCAGCCACTGCGACCGATGCAGATCATGGGCAGTACCGGGGGCCCACGCCCTCGCATCACCGCCGATTGGGTGCTCAAGGACCCTCCGGGAGTCGTGAGTGGAAACTTGATCATACTGAACCAACAGCAAATGGCCTCCAACCTAATAGCGA